TTCAGGGCATTCATTTGTATTTGTTTCAATTTCCAAATCACTTAAAATCTGCCTTTTAGTCACACTTTGAAACTTTAACACTTTTGATATTTTTCTGAGGGAGTGGACAAGAGTAACCTGGGGCTGCGAGCCTTCATGAAAGAAATGTTGCAAATCGATTGGTCACATTGAGTATTTGGTTATACTGAACTGAAGGTCAACTGATTATCTGAAGCCATTCAAAGCTGCAATTTGGCAAAACTACAACCAGAATACACTGCAGCTTAGTATCAGTAAATTATTATTGCAGATAAAGGTGTGGGAGTCCCACACCTGCTGACGAAATGAGCACTATAACAAACAAGCTACAGACAATCCGAGTTGAACATGTCTTTCCCAGTGGTTTTCTGCGTGTTTTTCTTCAGTTTTTGCCATTCATTCACAAGTAGCAATTCTCTCCAGCCTGCAGTTCCCCAGGACGGAGTATTGGTGGATGTCTTTCACAATAGAAGCATCATCACTGATCACCAGTAAGTTCTTAAATGGCATAAAAGTTGCATCTCCTGCTTGGTTTCTCATGAGCTTATTTTCCAGCTGCTGCCTTATGACGTTCCTTCAGAGGTCCATCAAAAACTGTACTGTCCTGCCATTAAGTTTACTTTAGAATCATTGCAGGCAGACAGGGGATCAGAGATCATGGTAGAAGGCCTTTAGATCTCAGTATTGTAAAGTGGAGGTTGGGAGGGAAGTGTTGAAACTCTTTAGGGGCAAGGGTACGGCTCCGAGTGCACTGTGAGAGGTGTCTATGATCAGACTATGTTAGTTCCTGAAATCTAAGCACTGGAGTAGGAAGTATTCACTGGAATTTGGAAGAATGAGAGCGGGGATCTCAGAATCCCAATTGAGAAGAGAGAGATTTAAAAAAGATGAGGGGCAATTTTTTTTTTTAACGCAGAGGGGGGTTCATGTGTGGAATGAACTTCCTGAGGAAGTGGTGGAAGCAGGTACAGTTACTTTTAAAAGACACTTTAAGTATATGAATAGGAGGGATATGGGCCAGGAGCAGGCAGGTGGGACTTGTTTCGTTTGGGTTTATTTCGGCAAGGACTAATTTCCATGCTAAATGACTATAATATGACTGGGCAAGTTAGCACAGGAAGGATGTTCCTGATGGTGAGGGAGTCCAGAACCAGGGGTCATAATCTAAGGATGAGGGGGCAAACCTTTTAGGATGGAGATGAGAAATATCTTCACCCAGAGAGTGGTGAGCCTGTGGAATTCGTTACCAGAGAAAGTGGTTGAGGCCAAAACATTTATTTATTTATTTATTTATTTATTGTGATGTGTATTTATTTGTTACAAATACAATGAAAAATGTTGTCTAGTGTTGAGGTAGATCATCTCACAAAATAATCTCAGGATCCTCAAAATGCACATCGATGATTGATTGATTGATTGATTGTTTATTGAACCAAAATTGGGAAGTTCATCCCAGAAAAGATTCTGAAGTAATTGTCTAACTCAATGAGTATTCATCAGATATTTATACGTTGGAAATCTTGAAGATAGTACATTACTTGAATCCAAAATGGTCTGTTTTAGACAAACACCTTACTTTTTACACATAGCAAAAGGTGCCTGTCACCCCTAGTCTCATCACTTCTTACCTTCCCAGGTACCATCCTGTCTTCCCTCTGAAGCTTGTACTTCATTCTTGCCTCCACCCTGCGCAGCCTTCCCTAACATTGTTCCTGTGTAAGAATTTGCTTGAACCTGAGCTATGAGAAACCAGTTTTCTTACAAGTGTGGCTTGAAACTCATAAAACACCAAAGTAAAGGCTCCTCAGGATTCTATTATTTAAACACTCAATCCCACACATCATTTAGTGAGTATACACAGATATAAAAACAAATTACTGCAACTACTCAGCACAACAATCTGTGGAGACAGAAACGGAGTTAACGTAAAACGTTGAGCAGAGACCTCTCCTCTCGCCACAGATGCTGAATATTTCTGGCGTTTCCTGTCTGTATTCTGGATTTTTAATATCTACAGTATCTTGTGCCTGGCCATGTCTTCAGTTCCCAGGTGTTTTATCCACCTCCCTTTCCCTTTTGAGGCACTCCTTAAAGCCTACATCTTTGATCAAGTATTTAGTTACCTAAGCTGATATTTCTTTGTTACTCAGTGGTTGATAATGCTCCTGTAAAGCAGCTTGGTCGCTTTGGTATGTTAAACATGCTATATAAATGCAAGTTTTTATTTGTTGGTCACAAAACTGCTAGGTTCTGGGTAGAGGGGGGAAATAGGTGATTTCTTTCAAGATCGGCAAATGTAAATGTGCATACGAGTGAAGGAGATGATCAGGCTCAGCTGCAAGATTCCCTTGCACTCTTGCCTGCCATAACTGTTTTGGCTTCATTCCAAGAATGGTCAGTTGGCTGAGGGGCCAATCATCTACTGACCCATTGCAAACAAAATCTAGCAGGTGGCTGTTCTACAATTTGGGTTGGGGGTGGGGCAGGGGGTGAACTAAATAGGAAATTGTGTTGTTCAGAGCCACGTTCTGCCATTACGGAAGCAATTTAGCAATGCTTACAATCTCCTATTCAATACAAACCATGTTTGTATTTCAGTCACATTGAGAAGGAGCTGAAGCACTACCTTGGACAGCCTAAAATTGATGAACTGTCTGTAGAAGAACTGCAATTCTATTATTTCACGTAAGCTAAATATATTTGAACTAATGCTGGAAATCTTCACATGATTCTAATATTTATCCCTTAATTTAGATCACTAAGACAGTTTGTTATTGTATTGTGTGTGAGAGCCGCTTATGTACAAATTGGTGAATACGATTCCTACATTACAACAGGGACTACAATTCCAACTAGTGCCCTGGTTGTAAAGTACCTTGGAATATTCTGAGGTTGTGAAAGTTGTTATGCATGGAATACTACCAGTGAACTCCATTTGTCATCTGCAAGAGTAAAGTTTGAGAATTAAAGAAATTGTGTTTGTTAAATGTGTACTGGTATGTAATAGTCTGGTTCTTTGTTGATGTTCTCTTCAGTGAATTCTTCATTAATGAAACCTCTCAGTAGCTCCAGCCCACACTACATCAGGATGTGTGTGAAGGGGGAAACAGGACAGACAGCAGAGGAAGACCTTGAGAAGGATGGTCAAGGATTCACCAATATTCTCAGCTCGTTCACTTGGGATAATTTGAAGCCTGCTGAGGAGCAACACCTCTGAGATAACCTGCTTCAACTTCTGGAGTCACTGCTTGGCTGAAGACTAACAGGAGTAACCTATAGCTCAGTTTTTTTAAAAATAGAATTCCAGAGTCTGGAAACAGGCCATTCAGCCCAATAAGTCCTAAAAGTCCCTTCAAAGAGCATCCTACTCAGGCCTATTCCTAAATTTGCATTTCCCATGGCTAATGCACCTAACCTACACATCCCTGGACACTAGGGCTAATTTAGCATGGCCAATCCACCTAACTTGCACAACCTGGCAGAACCCCACACTGACACAGGGAGAACATGTAAATTCCACACAGACAGTTGCCCGAAGGTGGGATCAAACACAGGTCCCTAGCGCATGAGACACCAGTGCTGACCACTGAACCACCCTGCCACCTACAAACGGTTGTAGCCTTTTTCATACAATCTCCTCCTAGGCAACAGCAGGAGATTTGGCAATGGTTAGCAACATCCATGCTTTATTCAGGGCATATGTGCTGTGTTGTAGTGTTCTGCTGAAAAGAATGGAAGTTGGCAACAGCAAAATCAGTTAATAAGAATTCTTTCAAATATGCAGCATTCCTGGTGAACACAATGCTATCGAGTGCACTGTACCTGGAATTCTAAATGCAATTGAGCAGGCTACATTGAAGCAATGGTAAAGGGGCAATATCATGTTCTTGTGGTGCAGTGGTAGTGTCCCTACCTCTGAGCTAGGAAGCCCAGGTTCAATCTCATTTCCCCCTAGCTGTAGTAATATCTCTGAACAGGTTGATTAGGAAAATACCAATCACTGCAGCTGTTGGTAGAATTCAACCTGGATGAATAAACCTGGAATTAAAAGCTAGTATCAGTCTCAATAACCATGAAATCATTGTAATATCGTGTACAAGAATCCATCCTTTATGGAAAGGAAATCTGCCATCCTTACCTGGTCTGATCTACACATAACTCCAGACCCACAGAAATGTGGATGACTCTTAACTCCCTCAGAAATGATCCAGGAAACCACTCAGCTCCTGAGCAACTGAGGATGGGCAACAAATGCTGACCCCGGTTACCGCCATTAATTAGACAGCATCTTCCAAACCCATAACCATTTTCATCTGGAAGGACAAGGGCAGCAGCTACAATGGGAACATTATCATCTGCAGTTCCCCTTCAAGCCAGTCACCATCCTGATGTGGAAAAATATTACCATTCCTTCACTAGCGCTGGGTCAAAATCCTGGAATTCTATCCCTAAGTGCATTGTGGGTCTACCTACAGCACATGGACTGTAGTGATTCAAGAAGGCAGCTCACCACCACCACCACCTCGAGCAACTGGGGACAGACAAATGCTGGCCAAGCCAGTGGCACTCCTCCACCTACAAGTGGATTAAAAAAAAGCTTAATGTGTAATTCATACTGAGTAAATATCAATTCATAGAATCGCTATTGTGTGCAAGCAAGCCATTTGGCCCATCAAATCCACACCAACCCTTCGAAGAGCAGTCCACCCAGACCCAACCCCCTACCCTCTATTTCCCATGGCTGATCCAACTAGCCTGCACATCTTTGGATTGTGGGAGGAAACCGGAGCATCCAGAGGAAACCCACACAGTTGGCTGACGGCTGGAATCAAACCTGGGTCACTGGTGTTCAGAGGCAACAATGCTGACCACTGAGCCACTGTGCTGCCTTCCCACAGGATTGGCAGTAATCCTACAGCAATCTTGTAAAGGAACATCTTAGCTTTTAGTTCTACTCAGAGAAATCTTGATAAGAGGACAAAAGTGGTAACCCCATATATTCGAAGAAGTTTGATTTTATCCAAAAAAACTTCAAGCGCAGCAATTTTACATTATTTATCCATTCCTTCAAGAATTCATCCAATATTGAAAAAGTAACAGTGCTACAGGGACGTAGAAGGGGGAACTGACTAAATTGTTTGACAGGGAGCCAGCAAGAACTGATCAGTCACATTGCATCCTGTGCAGCATAATGACTGCATGAGTAAAAGTGACATTTTATTATGTTGAATCAACTTGATGGTACAACAATAGGCTTAGTACTGTTGTGTTAATAAGAAATCTCTCAGACAAACAGACTCTCAATGAATTTATATTCCTTCTAAACTGGGACAAGCTTATATTAATTGCTTATGACTGACCCAAGAAGCTCTTGAACTGTTGTCGGTAAAGTTAACATGGTGCTGTTTAAATCTAACCTGCTGGGTCATTTACAAAAAAGCTATGTTTAGTAGCAATTGACAGCCAAAGAGGGACTACTTATTCTTTAGATGCTCAGATTTTCTGGCCTGATTATCAATCAGTCTTTTCCACTTTGATCAAACATGTTCAGCACAAGTACGACGATCCGAAAATAATCATACAGAATCTCACTGAATTTTAGTAGGAGGTAGTTTAACGGTTCTGTGAAGACAAAGTCAGTTGGACCCTGTTACTGATTCGGTGGATAGATGCACTGTATAGTGTGGTACTGGGTCATTGAAATGTCCCAATTCACTATTTGACAGTCTAGTTAACTATTTCAGTCATAGAGCTGTACAGCGTGGAAACAGAACCTTTGGTCCAACTTGTCCATGCTGACCAGCTGCACCGGTTGCTGAAGGTAAGCATGCAGGTGCAGCAGGCGGTAAAGAAGGCCGATGGTATGTTGGCCTTCATTGTGAGAGGTTTTGAGCACAGGAGCAGGGATGTGTTGTTGCAGTTTTACAGGGCCTTGGTGAGGCCACACCTGGAACATTGTGTGCAGTTTTGGTCTCCTTTTCTGAGGAAGGATGCTCTTCCTCTCGAGAGAAGGTTTACCAGGCTGATTCTGGGGATGGTGGGTCTGATGTATGAGGAGAGATTGACTAGGTTAGGATTGTTTTCACTGGAGTTCAGACGAATGAGTGGGGGATCTCATAGAGACTTAAAATTCTAACCGGACTGGACAGGGTAAATGCAGGGAGGATGTTCCCGAGGGTGAGTGTGTCCAGAACCAGGGGTCACAGTACAAGGATTCAGGGTAGACAATTTAGGACGGAGATGAGGAGACATTTCTTCACCCAAAGAGCAGTGAGCCTGTGGAATTCATTACCACAGGAAGTAGTTGATGCAAAAACATTGAATGTACTTAAGAGGTGGTTAGATACAGCACTTGGGCCGAATGGGATTAAAGGTTATGGGGAGAAAGCAGGATTAGGCTATTGAGTTGGGTGATCAGCCATGACTGAAGGGCCGAATGCTTCCTCTTGCTCCTATCTTCTGCGTTTCTATGTTTCTATCTTAAACTATTCTTGTCCCAATTGCCAGCATTTGGCCAATATCCCTTTAAACCCTTCTTATTTATATACCCATCCAGATGCCTTTTAAACGTTGTAATTGTAATGAGCTCTGACAGCTCATTCCATACACGCTCATTCCACCCTCTGCATGAAAAGGTTGCCCCTTAGGTTCTTTGTAAATTGTTAAGTTACAGGGTGTGGTTGGATAGGCTGCAGCTTTTTTGCCCTGGAGCATAGGAGTTTGAGGGGTGACCTTATGGAGTTTATAAAATCATGAAAGGCATAGATAAGGTGAATAGCAAAGGTCTTTTCCCAGGATAGGGAGTTTAAAATTACAGCGCATGAGTTTAAGGTGAGAGGGGAAGGATTTAAAAAGGACCTGAAGGTGGTGGGTATATCAAATGAACTGCCAGAGGAAAGGTACAACATTTAAACACCATTTGGACAGGTACATAAATTGGAAAGGTGTAGAGGGATATGGGCCATACCCAGGCAAATGGGACTACTTTAGCTTCAGAAACCAGGTCGGCATGGATGAGTTGAACCAAAGGGTCCGTTTTTGAGTTGTAAGACACAATAAATCTTTTAGCTGAAAAGAATTAGGAAAACTATGCAAGAATATGATTCAAAAAGGCATATATCATTGCAATATGCATTCACAACTTTAGGTAATCAATTGCAGCAATTGTGGTAATTATAATCTTCACTGTGGACATTATTACACTTGTAGCATATGGAGTGCGTTTCCTGGTATCATGCACCAGCACACTAAGACACAAAATTACTAGTATCTTAAACAACACTATTGAAAAAGCCTCAGATCTGTGACCTTTCCATCAAGAGCCTTATAACAAACCCCAAACCCGCACCGCCCGCTTCTATCTCCTTCCCAAAATCCACAAACCTGACTGCCCTGGTCGACCCATTGTCTCCGCCTGCTCCTGCCCCACCGAACTTATCTCCAATTGTCTGGACTCCATTTTCTCCCCCTTGGTCCACGAACTCCCTACCTACGTCCGTGACACCACCCATGCTCTCCACCTCCTCCAGAACTTCCAATTCCCCGGTCCCCAACACCTCATCTTTACCATGGACGTCCAGTCCCTATACACCTGCATTCCCCATACAGAAAAACACTCCTGTACATCTCAGATGTCCTCGTTTTGCAAGGACCGCAACTCCACCACCTCCCCCACCCCCCAACCCGCCCCCGCTCCAGTGGTCGAGAACGCCCTCCACCGTGTCTCCCGCATTTCCCGCAACTCATTCTTCACACCCTGTCCCCGCAATAACAACCAAAACAGAATCCCCCTCGTCCTCACATACCACCCCACCAACCTCCGGATCCAACGCATCATCCTCCGACACTTCCGCCATCTGCAATCCGAACCCACCACCAAAGACATTTTTCCCTCCCCACCCTTATCTGCTTTCCGGAGGGACCACTCTCTCCATGACTCCCTTGTCCGCTCCACACTCCCCTCCAGCCCCACCACACCTGGCACTTTTCCCTGCAACCGCAGGAAGTGCTACATCTGCCCCCTTACCTCCTCCCTCACCCCCATCCCAGGCCCCAAGAAGACTTTCCACATCAAGCAGATGTTCACCTGCACATCTGCCAATGTGGTATACTGCATCCGCTGTTCCCGTTGTGGCCTCCTCTACATCGGGGAAACCAAGCGGAGGCTTGGGGACCGCTTTGCAGAACATCTATGCTCGGTTCGCAATAAACAACTGCACCTCCCAGTCGCGAACCATTTCAACTCCCCCTCCCATTCCTCAGACGACATGTCCATCCTGGGCCTCCTGCAGTGCCACAACGATGCCACCCGAAGGTTGCAGGAACAGCAACTCATATTCCGCTTGGGAATCCTGCAGCCCAATGGTATCAATGTGGACTTCACAAGCTTCAAAATCTACCCCCCCGCCACCGCATCCCAAAACCAGCCCAGCTCGTCCCCGCTTCCCTAACCTGTTCTTCCTCCCATCTATCCCCTCCTCCCACCTCAAGCTGCACCCCCATCTCCTACCTACTAACCTCATCCCGCCCCCTTGACCTGTCCGTCCTCCCTGGACTGACCTATCTCCTCCCTACCTCCCCACCTACACTCACCTTTACTGGCTCCATCCCCACCTCTTTGACCTGTCTGTTTCCTCTCCACCCATCTTCTCTTCTATCCATCTTCTATCCACCTCCCCCTCTCTCCCTATTTATTTCAGAACCCCCTTCCCCTCCCCCATTTCTGATGGAGGGTCTAGGCCCAAAACGTCAGCCTTCCTGCTCCTATGATGCTGCTTGGCCTGCTGTGTTCATCCAGCTCTGCACCTTGTTATCTCAGATTCTCCAGCATCTGCAGTTCCTACTATCTCTAAATATAAGCACAGCAAGTTTATAACTGTCAGGCAGAAAGAAAAGCTTGTCAAGTATGTTCAATGTAATATTTCCTTGGAGCATTCCTTTAATTTTTTTTTTCTCTAAAAACGCACTTAATGGAGAAAGGCTTTTCCTCGTGAATTAATTCATGAGTTCCCTACTTAATTCCTTTTCCCTCTCTGCAGTCTTCATGATTTTGACAAAAATACTTTCTTGGACGGCCTTGAAATATTAACCGCACTGGAAGATTCCCTTGAAGAAACACTGGAGTCCTTTTCAACTGAAGAAATGATTAAATTGCTTATAGGTAAAAATTCATGAATTAACACTCGTGATTGATGCTGCAGCCAAATCATTCCCAGCCTGGCTCAAAATAATTTAAAATGAAATGCACTCAATTCACCCCCAATACAACAATCGATTCTTAAGCAAACTTTGGTGTCATTCTTGATACTTGTCCTTATCGTATAAAGTTAAAAACAGGAAGAAAGCACATCCTCCAACTTACTGTAAGCAACACAATATTTTTGTATTGTTTGAAAGCTTGTGCTAGAGTTTCTACAAGATTACACTGTTTTGTCCAGAACAATTCCCCAAAATTGGTCAAACTGCACCAAGGATCAAGGCATTGAGCACAAGTTATGTTCGGCACAAGTAAGTGCATGCGATATTTTGTACTGTTTAGGAAAAACAAAGAGGGTGAGAATCTTGATACACCTACAAAATAACCACAGGCCCAGTTCAATTTCACCAACAAGATGCATTGTGCCCATTTGAAGGCTTTTATTAGCATGACTAAGGTAGCACAAATGCGCAGTGTTAAAGAATATTGCTTGAAATATTTGATTGAGAGAGGTAACATTATTCAGCTTATCAATACAACTGAAAATGGGTTTATCCACACATACAAAATTCTTAATCCATGGAGTTCTTAAAAAAACTGTATTGAGAAATTTATGGGTTTCATAGTGGTCATTTCAAAATAAATTAAATATTTATTAATTAAAACATTTAGAAAATATCCATCAGCATCCTTGTGCCTATAGAACAAAGTTTAAATGGACTGTACAGACAAAAAATGCATTCTTACACAAATTATTTTCAGCCATAAAATTAAATCAGAAAACTAGCACAATGTAAAGAGCAATTTGCACCTGGCTTGCAGATAGTTCCCAAAAGGGAAACTCCATTCAGCCTTGTGTGTTTTGCATAGGTCCTGTAATGTCTGCTCCACACTCCCCTCCAGCCCCACCACACCCGGCACTTTTCCCTGCAACCGCAGGAAGGGCTACACCTGCCCCTACACCTCCTCCCTCACCCCCATCCCAGGCTCCAAGAAGACTTTCCACATCAAGCAGATGTTCACCTGCACATTTGCTAATGTGGTATACTGCATCCGCTGTTCCCGTTGTGGCCTCCTCTACATTGGGGAAACCAAGCGGAGGCTTGGGGACCGCTTTGCAGAACACCTACGCTCGGTTCCCACTAAACAACTGCACCTCCCAGTCGTGAACCATTTCAACTCCCCCTCCCATTCCTCAGACGACATGTCCATCCTGGGCCTCCTGCAGTGCCACAACGATGCTACCTGAAGGTTGCAGGAACAGCAACTCATATTCCGCTTGGGAACCCTGCAGCCCAATGGTATCAATGTGGACTTCACAAGCTTCAAAATCTCCCCTCCCCCTACCGCATCCCAAAACCAGCCCAGCTCGTCCCCGCCTCCCTAACCTGTTCTTCCTCCCACCTATCCCCACCTCAAGCCCCACTCCCATCTCCTACCTACTAACCTCATCCCACCTCCTTGACCTGTCCATCCTCCCTGGACTGACCTATCTCCTCCCTACCTCCCCACCTACACTCACCTTTACTGGCTCCATCCCTGCCTCTTTGACCTGTCTGTCTCCTCTCCACCTATCTTCTCCTCTACCCATCTTCTATCCACCTCCCCCTCTCTCCCTATTTATTTCAGAACCCCCTTCCCCTCCCCCATTTCTGAAGAAGGGTCTAGGCCCGAAACGTCAGCTTTCCTGCTCCTCTGATGCTGCTTGGCCTGCTGTGTTCATCCAGCTCTACACCTTGTTACCTCAGATTCTCCAGCATCTGCAGTTCCTACTATCTCCTGTAATGTCTACCAGTTTTAAACTCTCGTAGTTTTGGAATGCTGACACCTGCCCTGCTCATAAGAAGCAGACTAAATGACTATTCAATTGCCGGGCTAAATCTCCCTTTCAAACCTTAAACCAAGTTGAAGGAATTTGAAATATAAATACAATATAAATTCTCTGGGAGCTCATTTCTTCTGAGTTTGTTGTAAGTTGCTGTTGCTGACTCAGCTAAATTTGCAGTACAGATCAAGGTTGATCTCACTTCATCAAATCGACCTGTTACATTTTAACTGCTTTCTTTTGGTACAGAAATGACAGATGAAGTTTTGGAAAAGGATGATGTCGATAACGACGGGTATTTATCCTATTATGAATACATACACTCACAAAACAGAACAGCGAGTCCTACCACAATACTGGAGAAAAGCTCAAAAGAGAAAGTTTAACAACAGCAAATCTGATGCAGTAAACAGGACGAGAAAATGTTCTTAGCAGGCAATTATTCTAATAAAAAGGACTAATAAATCTGTATTGTATTTTATAAATGATGTTCTTTCATTGAAACATAGACTTGTGGCTCACTGACTCCATTGGTCTTCAAGTCAGGACAAAATAAATGTCCCAAACTCACTTGTTTAGCTGATGGAACCCTACTTGGGGGAAGCTGGATCAATTTCATGAGTGACAGCCCATTGCAAGGGCCAACCAATCTGACCAGGATCCAACAGATCTGCCAGCTTCCCCTGTTGATGGAATGAGAAAGCATGTTTCAGGTTACACCAAAAGTTTACTTTATGTGCCAAGATAGGGCAGGCAGACCTTGGCAACTGGAGTGTAAACCAGGAGAGGCACTGGGGGCCACAAGGGTTGCCAATGATCCTAACAGCCTGTAGTTGGAGTATGGAGCTTCCAGAAAGCAAGGTCTCCCTCCAGGGAGATAGAATTCAGTCTACCACAAGATAGGTGCCATTCCACAATGGTGGGATCAATAATAAGTGGCCATCAGTGGGCCATAGATGTTCCTGATCTTCTAGCTTTCCAGCCAGCACCTTTTCCCAGACCCAATTTAATAATCTGTTCATTTCAACCCATATCTTTAAATAAAACCTGACCATTTTCTTGCTTACCACGGAGTGAATATTGACTAAGTCCAGTCCAGTCCAGTCCAGTCCATTTCTTCAGGAAACAAAATCGAAAGTTGGCAATGTACAATTCTCATTATTCTTTTGAAATCATTTCTCTTGATAGTTTTTTCAAACCTGTTTGCTCCAAGGTGCTCAACTTTCAAGTTGAGTGTGCATAGAAACCCCACTTTTAGGACAATTAGAGTCATAGAGATATACAGCATGGAAACAGACCCTTCAGTCCGATGTGTCCATACTGACCAGATATCCTATATAAATCTAGTCCCATTTGCCTGCATTTGGCCCATACCCTCTAAACCCTTCTTCGTCATATACCCATCCAGATGCCTTTTAAATATTGTAATTGTAACATACATAGAAACATAGAAGATGGGAGCAGGAGGCGGCCATTTGGCCCTTTGAGCCTGCTCCGCCATTCTTCATGATCATGGCTGATCATCCATCTCAATAGCCTAATCCTCCTTTCTCCCAATAACCTTTGATCTCATTTGTCCGAAGTACTATTATCTAGTTGCCTCTTGAATACATTCAAAATTTTGACATCAACTACTTCCTGTGGTAATGAATTCCACAGGCTCACCAATCTTTAGGTGAAGAAATGACTCTTCAGTTTCGTCCTAAAACGTCTAACCTGAATCCCTCATACCGTGACCTGTGGTTCACCCACCATTGGGAACATCGTCCATGCATCTACCCTGCAACCTTCACCACTTACTTTGGTAGCTCATTCCTTACACACAACACCATCTGTGTGGAAAAGTTGCCCCTTAAGTCCCTTTTATATCTTTCCCCTCTCACCTTAAACCTATGCCCTCTAGTTGTGGACTCCCCCACCCTGGGAAAAGACCTTGCCTATTTACCCTATCCATGCCCCTCATGATATAAACCTCGAAAAGGTCACCCTCAGCCTCTGACTCTCCAGGGAAAATAGTCCCAGCTTATTCAGCCTCTCCCCAAAGCTCAAACCATCCAACCCTGGAAACATCCTTGTAAATCTTTTCTGAACCCTTTCTTTTTTCATAACATCCTTCCGATAGGAGGGAGACCGGGATTGCACACAACACTCCAGAAGTGGCCTAACTAATGTCCTGTACAGCTGCAATATGACCAGGCTCTGAGGGTCAGTGTGGATTTGTTGGGCTGAAGGGCCTATTCCCACACTGTAGGGATTCTATGATTTTAAAGGCCTGATGATTCTGGGTAATCCAAAATGGAGGCCAGGAAAAAAATTGTGGCTGTAAGAGCTGCTCCTTTTTTTGAGGTATTTTCAAATAAAAGGAGCCAGTAATTGCTGTTTTATAAGCTGTTGCATTGTTTTGGAACTTTGGGAAAATAAGATTAAAACAACAACGCTTTATTTCATTTATATCATGTGAATGCAAGTACTCACAAACAAAAACCAAGATAACGAGTACAATAGGAATCATCATAGAAACAAAATTAATCACTGAAGACAGAATTTGATTTGCTTGAACGAAAGAATTAGAAGTGGCAGTTAAGTCTTCAAAGAGACAAATGCGGTGTGGAGCACCAGCACTGATATGCCTTGGTTGTGTTCATATTTCTGCAATTTCAATAAATTAAATATATGCATGTTTGAAATAATCTGCTCAGCAAATGTCAGAGTAATGCATTCCTACATTGCACCTTGAACTTCATATCCTCCATCAGCACGATCAACTTATTTTGTAGTTTCCATGGATCAGATACTGTTCAATATTCTTCCACAACATTGCCTGTCTCAGCCACTGCATTAGCTTATCAGCTGCTAAAGCCCTCATCCATCGTCCTGTTACTTTCACAGTTCAGCATTCCTGGCTGTGTTCTGATTTTATCATTCTCAACCTTTGAGATCAACTCCCTCCATTCCTTGGTCCTTCCCATCAAAAACTTCTTACAACTTAAAAATGTTCTGAGAACTCAGCGATCCTTCAATTCTGGCATTTCTGCACCGCCAGCTTCCTTCTCCAGTCACTAGCATCCATGTCTCAGGCTTCTAGGTCATAAACTTTAAGCTGTCTACATAAATCTCTGATTGCAATATGGTCCTTAAACTCACCTACATCAATGCACCTGTCCTACTATTCCCTTATGTGGCTTGGGTTCAAATTTTCATTTGATAATACTTCTTTGAAGCACTTGAGATGATTGAAATGTCAGGAGCTATCCAAAAGTCCATGGAGATGACATAATGGCTGAACCATTCTGGCTACCCGACTGAAGTAATATCACATTATCTGTTTCCTACTCTTATAGTTCTGACATCCTACAAAATCTGCAGTTTTTTTTTCAGCCACCATTTCCATTTCACAATAATTTCCTTTGTAAGGCTTCCTAGATGGTTCAGTCTGTGCATAAACCAGAATAAAACCATGTTTGATCCACATTTGGTGCACGCTAAGTTAACCTATTCAGTTGCAACTCCAACAGTGACAATGTAATTGTGTAGTGCCCCTGGTCATAGTGTGCAGTCCAAGCTGGTGTCCTTGCTGGACATCAATATCACATGTATAACAGTACCGGCACCCATGGTCAAGTCTCACACGTGAAGTGTCAGCGTGGATCAGTGGTTCCAAGCTGACTCCAAGCCAAGAGATTCCAGTCACTCGGAGTTAGCAAGAACTGCAGATGCTGGAGTCAACAGTCAACACAGCGTGCAGCTGGAGGAACACAGCAGGTCAGGCAGCATCAAAGAAGCAGGAAAGTTGACATTTTGGGTTTACACCCTTCATCAAGAGTGGGGGGGAGGGGGGAACTGGGAAATAAAGAGGAAGGGGTGTGGCTGGGGAAGGTAAGTGGGATGATGATAAGTGGATGCACGTGGCGGGTAGTGGGGATTGGTCAGTGGGATGGGTGGGAAAGAAGATGGACAGGTAGTGTCACGTCAGGGAGGCGGGGATTGGACATGGGATGAGGCTAGGGGTGGGGAGGCTTTAAAAGTGGTGAATTCTATGTTGACACCATTGGGTTGTAGGCTCCCAAGTCGAAATATGAGGTGTTGTTCCTCCAGTTTGCGTGTGGTGTCATTGTGACTCTGGAGGAGGCCCAGGATGGACATGTCAAGGGCGTTGGAAAGGAGAGTTAAAATGGTTGGCAACCAGAAGGTGGTATTGATTATAACATACAGAGCACAGATGCTCCACAAATTGGTCCCAGAGTCTGCGCTTGGTCTCACCAAAGTAGAGGAGGCCACGTCGGGAGCAACGGGTATAGAGGATGTAGAAGTGAACGCCTGTTGGATTTGGAAAGTTTGTCTTGGGCCTTGAACAGAAGTGAGAGAGAGGAGGTGTTGCACCTCCTGTGGTTGCAGAGAAAGGTGCTGGATGTGGTGGGGAGTGTGAAGCGGACGAGGGAGTCACGGAGTGAGTGGTCCCTACAAAAGGCAGATAGGGATGGGGAGGGAACTATCTCTGGTGGTGGGGTCGGATTGCACGTGGCGGAAGTGGCGGAGAATGAGACACTGGATGCTGAGGTTGGTGGGGTGGTATGTGAGGACCAGGGGGTCTCTGTCCTTATTTTTGTTGATGGGGGAGGTGGAGGGCAAAAATGCAGGAAATGCAAGAGATGTGATTGAGGGCATTGTGGATCAACAGAAGGGTGAAGTTGTGGTCCTTGAAGTAGGAGGACATCTGGGATGTCCGGGAGTGGAATGCTCCACCTTGGGAGCAGATGCAGCGGAGGCAGAGGAATTGGGAGTAAGGGATCGCATTCTTGCAGGAGGGTGGGTGAGAGATGTAGTTGAGGTATCTGTGGGTTTGAAATAGATGTTGGTACTGAGACTGTTACCTGATATGGAGACAGAGAGGTCCAGTAAGGGGAGGGAGGTATCAGAGATGGTCCAGGTGAATTTGAGGTTAGACTGAATGGTGTTGGTAAAGTTGATGAACTGTTCAAGCTCCTCTTGGGAGCATGAGGCAGCACCGATACAGTCATCCATGTAGCAGAGGAAGAGGTGAGGGATGGTGCTAGTGTAACAGCGGAAGAGGGACTGTTCCACGTATCCTACGAAGAGGCAGGCATAGCTCGGACCCATAAGAGTGCCCGTAGCCACCCCTTTAGTTTGTAGGAAGTGGGAGGAGATGAGGGAAAGTTGTTCAGGGTAAGGTCAAGTTCCATCAAGCGGATGAGGGTCTCAGTGGAGAGGGACTGGTTAGCCTGAGGGAGAGGAAGTAGCGGAGGGCTTTTAGACCATCTGCGTGGAAGGATATAGGTGTACGTGGATTGGATGTCCATGGTGAAGATGAGGTGTTGGGAGCCAGGGAATTGAAAGTCTTAGAGGAGGTGGAGGACGTAGGTAGTATCTCAAACATTGGTCGGGTGTTCCTGGAGCCAGGGTGGGGGGAGAAGAGATGAAGGCGAGGTAGGCGGAGATGAGTTCAGTGGGGCAGGAGCAAGC